ATGTCTACTTTACACCTCCCACACACACACACAAAATCAACATTCACTGATCACATGTCTACTTTACACCTCCCCACACACATACACCATCACATTCACTGATCACATGTCTACTTTACACCTCCCCACACACATACACCACCACATTCACTGATCACATGTCTACTTTACACCTACATACACCATCACATTCACTGATCACATGTCTACTTTACACCTCCCACACACATACACCATCACATTCACTGATCATATGTCTACTTTACACCTCCATACACACTACACCATCACATTCACTGATCACATGTCTACTTTACACCTCCCCACACACATACACCACCACATTCACTGATCACATGTCTACTTTACACCTACATACACCATCACATTCACTGATCACATGTCTACTTTACACCTCCCCACACACATACACCATCACATTCACTGATCACATGTCTACTTTACATCTCTGTACACACATACACCATCACATTCACTGATCACATGTCTACTTTACACCTCCATACACCATCACATTCACTGATCACATGTCTACTTTACACCTCCCTGTACCTGACAGTGATCTAACCTATTGCGCCTCCCTTACAATCTGTTGATAGTACAATGATTGATTGCCTCAATCTTACTGACATCTCACAAGTGTCAGGTGGGTGCAATATTTTCTTTATTGCCCGCACAGTGACAGATTATCAATCAGAAATCTACAATAAAAAGTTGTGATTCAGAAACAGGAAATGAAGAAGTGACCAGAATACGGGAGCCACAATAACGAGTTTTGAGAAAAATGATTGCTAATTCCAATTAATATTTTACTATTTTTCTGACTTCAATTGTATGATCTGTTTATTCATTAATATTGCTGGTATCTTAATGGATGTAAGAAACAGACAGCAGGTTTAATATTTAATTTGTTTTGCACACATACCAGTAAAAAGTGATTGAAATGAAAAACTAATTTTTTTTACAAAATTAACATGTCCCCTTAGTTGCACGTTGGTTAAGTACATGTATGTTAATAGTTTCATATACCGATACCCTAGTTATGTTTATTAACATGTCTCCCTAGTTCCGTGTTAGCAAATGCCTTTGATTACATGATTGTTACCAAGTTCCCCTAGTTTAATACACTTTCATTGCATCTCCTTAGTTTGATGTTAGTTAGCAAATATTCTTTATAGTTACATGTTTTGTTAATGGATTATCAGTATCTACTATTGGTTAGTTAATTCATTGTTGTACATAAAACCATGGCAACGAAGCAGAAACATGCCTGTTTGATAAGAGATAAAAGCAATGATAAGCAAGCAGATAATAACATAAAAGCTATGATATAATCGGCAAACATTTGAAGACAGATGACTCGCTCTTAAGAGGTTACTTGGAGACAAGCTTGTGAGTGGCTGTGAGAGTAAAAATGATGTTTACAATGATGACTATGAGATGTTGTATTATTTATGTATGTATAAAAAGATAGCATCTGTAAACTCACTATGCAAATCACATTTTCTCTTCTTTCTGCTTTAAGAGTAAAACCTTGCATGCAAAATCAAACTTTGATCGTTGAATTTCAAAATTATTTTATTTTCCTATTTTATCATTTTTTTAGTATAGGCTCACCTGGCGCTACGCATGTTGGGTGAAAGTAACTGTACACTGATCTGAGGTGGGGTATGTGTGTAGGGAGGGGAGGGGGTTTATTGCTTCAACTATGGATGCATACAATATTGTCTTACATATGGTTGGGTGGAAGGTAGATTATTTTCACTATGCCTATAATAAAAACGACCCAGGTTTCAATTATCATTTTCATTCATTTTATGTTTTCTCTGTTTTTCTGAAGATGGTTTTTGATGGTGAATGGTAAAAATAGCACTGAGCCCTGATATAGCATTAGATGGACACTGCTTTCATGTTATATCAAAATGAA